GTAAAATTTGGTTTTAAACTTCTTATTCAATTCTGTTCTATTCTATTTCTATTTACTTAGTTTTGTCTTTTGTGTCCTATTATATTTAATTTTCTTCAATTTTGTTCTAATTCATTTTTTCCTACTTTGTGATAAGGTTTTATGTTGCTATAGATTAAAAAGGTCTTAGACTCTTGACATAGATCAATCCTATTTCAATTCTATTTTGAGTTATAATATAAAGATCAAGATATCAAAGAGAATGTAGCTACCAAAGTATAATACATATTAATGTGCCTTAGGTAATAATGGATAATTATAATATACAATTAGAAGTGGTAGTGGTAGTGGATGATTCCATAATAAAAGAGGTTGTTCAACAACTACCTAAAGATAAGATACTAAGATTAGACATGATCTCATCAAAATTCTTCTAAATTTGCTAGGATAATTTAATAGAAGTTATTATAGTACTAGTCTTAAAGGTCTTTATCACACACAACTTGATCCAATACCTAAACATAAGTAAGATTATTTTTATTCCAAAAATAGATAAATTATTACTAATTATAAATTATAGACTAATTTTACTTTTAAGAATTTTCTACAAAAATTTAGCAAATGTCATAGCAATTAGGATGTTGTTCCACTTACTCAATTATGATAAATCAATTGATAAGAGAGCACAACATCTTAGATAAGGTGTTTTTAATAACAAAAGTTATTGCTGAGATAAAAAAAAAACCAATAAGACTTGATTTTTATACTTCTTAACTTTGAAAAAGCATATGATTTGATTAATTAGTCATTCTTCTATAAATTTTAATTATATTAGGATTTTCAATAAAATGAGTTAAGACAATAATGTCCTTTTGTTTAAAAGCATTTGCAACAATGTAGATCAATGAAGAATAAGAACCAATTTTTGAACTATAACAATTAATAAGACAAGAGTATTTTTTGGCACCATATTTTTTTATTTGCTACCAATGCTCTGAATTATATCTTAGATAATTCAAAATATAAAGTGATAGGATAAAAGATGCCAAACAAATAATGAGTGGACAATCAAATATTTACAAATAATATTACATTATTTTTTTTTAGAAAACTAATCAATCTAATACAAATGATGAAGGTTCTAAATAGGTATAGTGAAGCTTTAGAGTCAAAGGTGAATTGGCACAAAATCTTTACCATATGGATTGTATTACAAAAAAAATATAAAAATAAAGTGACGAAAGAAGATTCAATTAAAAATGTATAGAAGAAACTATATGCTATCAAGGCTCTTCTATTAGTTACAGAGTTCTATAAGAGAAGAGGGACAACAAAGTACTTATTTAGATTATAAATTTTTTAATCAAATAGAACATCCACAAATTATCTATAGTTGGTTGTAGATTAATTTTTAATTAAGAAATTTTAGATTTGATCTAGTATTTAGCATGAAGTTCTATCCTATCTAATAACATTATCAAAATAGTTAGATCTATTTCTAAAAACTACCTCTAGAGCAACATAACCTTAGGCATTGCATGCACGAAAGTAAAATAGACCACAAACATATGACAACAAATATACAAGGGTATAAAAATATTTAATCCAAGCTTATATGTTAATGCCATTTTAGTCAAATTAATTAGCCAAAGAATTAATCCAGTAATTGAAATATAGAATATTCTAATGAGTTACAAATTAACTCATTTAAAATATATTAATAGAAGCTATTGATATAACTTTGATTACTAGGCCTTAGTAAATATCAAAAAAAATTCAAAAAATTCACATAAAGCCTAAATTATAATTACATATGGACTTTAGGCAAATATTTTGATAAGGTTATTGGATAGAGTGGAGCTTGATGCTAAATATTATAGTTAATAAATGCATTAGGTGATATTTTAGAAGTATATCACTTCTTCAACATCACTAATTAAATAATATTAAGTAATAAATATACAACTAATCTATTAGATGAATTGAAATTTATCCATTCAAATATATTAGACAAGGGTGATAAAATATACAAATAAGTGTGAGTGGTTCATAGAATAGATTACTTTGATGATTTCATCAATATCAATTATTTTAACTCTGTGAGAGAATCTTACATAATATGGCTAATAAATAAATGATCCATCAACTCCTAAGACATAGACCATGGCAAATGGAAATGAAAAAAATATGATGTCTTATTTGAAGTACTACTCTATGGATAAAAAAAAAGTAAAAAAAATAGATGATTGATTTGAAAAAATTGATAATATAAAATAAAGCTAACAAAATATTATATAAAAATAAATTCATTGCTTATGATATTAAGTACTTTTACTCTAAATTATGATGCCTATGGATCTCAATTAAAATCTTTCTTCTTAGATGGCTCATAATGATACATGAGCTATATATTGGCAAATAGAAGATGCTTATGGGTTATAATTGATTGTATATCTTTTATAACAATAAAGCAATAGAAACATGTGAGTATGTATTGTAAAGATGTTTGCATATTTCAATTATTTGGACAAGATTCAATATACTTTTGGTAAGAGGTGGACAATAATAGTTACAATGCTAGAAGACCTTGATAAGGAGGTGATAAGTTTATAAAAGTCATAAATAGTATAAATATTTATAATAATATATTTTAATTGATCTTCAAATCTTTTTTAATCTAGAACATTTGGTGGGCCAAATGCAACCATGACTGCCACCACATCTTCTTACATACATGTGTAATCATATATAGAGCATGAAAAATAATAATTTAAATTGGTATAGAAGCTTGGGTGGAGATTTACAAATACAAAAAAGTCTAAAAAATAAGACAAAAACAAAAAGCAGTATTCCATGAAATATTGACATTTAACAAAGTTTTTGTAATAGGTATTAAATTAAATTAGTAGATATTCCCCCTTAAGAATTATTTAACTTCAAATCTAATATTTTAAGGAAAATTCTTTATTATTAATCTTAAAGAAGTCAATAAAGTAGAAAAAGTGATACCATATGAGGAGTCTCCAAGGTCCATTAATTTCCAACCATAACAAAAATTGCAACTTGAACCAATATTGTTATAGGCCATAGAAGCACAACCTCTCTTTTTTCAAACATGGTGACAATTTCAAACTTTGTGAATGAGCTGGTGAAACAATCTTCACCACATTCACAAAAATACGTCATTATAAGTCAAAGAATAGATTGCCTTACTATCCATAATAAAAATAAGACAATGTAAACTTGTGCAATAAGTATTATAATATACATGTATATCTACAAACTCAAACATATATATATATATTTTTTATATAAAATAACTCATTGAGGAAAAAAATATATTTGATAAACAAGAAAAACTAAAACTTTCTTTAATTTGTTACATACGTCATTTTTTTCATCAAATTTTTTTATTAAAAATGAATCAAAAGTTGAATTTATATAGCCTTAATAGAATCCACAATTCGAATTACATAGAAATGAAATGATTATGAATTGTTATGTTTGATACTTTGGAGTGTAAAATTAAGTGATTTAGATATTGATTGTAGAAGATCATGAAGTCTATTTGCAATACAAAGGCCTCTAATTTCTAATAGAAAATGTAACCTTTGTTGATGGATATTGTTATGTAATCTTTAAATAATTTGTAGTATAATTATGGCAATCATTGACTAAATTTTACTAAATTTTTTGTCATAAAACTTGTGCAATAAAAAAAATTCTTGACAGCAAATCATATCCTCATGAAGCAATTTCTTGACATGTAAGTGGTTGTTCTACAAGGTAGCAACATAAAGATTTTTAAGGGTAATAATACTACTACAACTAATCCATTCAATTGCCTTACTCTAAGCTATGTCCATCTCCATATGTATGGTTAGCCTCTAATATACTTAGTGCCTACAGACAAAGTAGCAAAGCATCCTATTTTCAACTGTACAAATCTTTCTCTTGGTACATATATTGATAATCAACATGGATTTGTATAATAATTTTTATTTTTTTATTTTTTAAGGTGTTTTTAACTTTGCTAGCTTTATAAATAATTTCATAATATCTCAATTTCTATTATAGATTAGGTGAATAAAAAAATAGTCTCAATCCTATAGATATTAATTGTATACAATGTATTAAATAATTGCATTCTATTTTGACATGTATTTTGGAATGAAGGTTGTTTTTAATTAATTGTGAATTATAGTATGGTCTAACTAGCATGCAACTCAATCATTGGCTAGAGCTTATCAAGTATTGTTTCTTTCTGAAATTAGCCATCTGGCTCTAACTAGATATATATAAGGTGGACGACTTTGGATCATGTATGTCACAAGTATTCATATTTATTTTTAATTAATTATAGATCTACTGATTATAGCATATAAAATAAAATTATATATATATATATATATATATATATATACCAAATAGATGTAATTTTATCATAATTTTTGTATACTAGTTTTTATCTAAGCTTGATATATTTGTCTTTAAATGTCATATTCTTTGGACAACTTTTTCTCCGAGTTTTAAAATTTAAAGTTGATAAAATTAAATCTCTTAAAGGCATCTTACATTTAAATATTGAACTACTTACTTATATGACTTAAAAACAGTATGTTCAATATTTGATGTGAATATAATGTTCTAGTACATTAAGATTTGTACTAACAATATTTCACTTTAATTCTATTGGTTGCATTTCTCATTGTTTTTATCAAAAGTGAAGCGAAAAAGAAGTAATAATTCAACTTTTGATCAATCAAAGGTCAGAATCAAAATCTACATACTATTGCTACAAATTGTTGAGAGTAGCATTGCGAGATAACTAAGTGTGAAGCTTGAAAGGTCCCAATCATACTTTTCAGTAACATTCAAAAAATTTTGTGGCCAATGGCACAGGTTTCCACCAGTATGTATATATATATATATATATATATATATGACGAGGAGCCCTGTGACCATGGATGCTCCTATGAACAAACATAGCCCTTATCCGCCTCCGCCAGGGTCCCTCTTTCACCGCGTCATCACGGTGCCCGTGCCCGCACGCCGAGCTCAGCTCCCCTCGCGAGCTTGGTGCTCGTGTTGCGTGCCTGCCTTCCATTCATGCTTCCACTGCCCGCACAATTGCAACGGTGACGCACAACGAAGCACACGCACCATTGGATTCCAGGTGAGACGCATTCTGCTGCATTGTGATTCTTCAGAATACCCCATCCTCTGCCGTAAGCTCTTTTGCTATTCTTCCCTTGCTGACCAGATTGTCTCTCGACTTCTCGCATGGATTTGTCCTCTTTGCCATGTCCCCACTTTCTCACCTGGATTTCTCGTTGTTTTTAGTCATGCGGGAGACTCTTTGTGGGGCCTCAATGCATCCTGCGTTGTTGGCCTCGTAGTTGGTGATCATGGTCATTGTAGTATATGTCGTTGAGTCGGTTTGAAACCAGTTTTGGGAAGTTTGGCGATGATGTGGGAGTAGGTTGATGAGGAAAGGGGAAAAGAAAGGCGAAAAGAAAGTAAAGCAGAAAAGATTCTGAATCAGCCGGTTGCAGTCAGTTAGTGGATTCGCACTACGAATCTTCGAGTTTGATCGAAATTTAGAAAGTGGGGTTGGCAGTATTTGTGCTTTGGGATTCCTATCACTTGCACGAGATGTTTGAGCGTTAAACCCTAGGTGTGAATGTCGCGGGATTAGGGAGATTGCAAATGTCAATGTTGCCTGCTCGATTCATGGTTCCGAAGTGGTAACGTTGTGGGTGATTTTGCGAGCTGAAGTTGCTATTTTGGTTTTATGTTTTTTCTCTCTAGGCCTCTCATTTCAAGCTTCAGCTAGCATCTCAGCTTTAGCATGACTAGCTGAGAATACTCCACCTCTAGGCGCTCCGTCAGTACTGTACCAAAATGGAGAGAAGGAAGTGGTTAGCGGTGAGGGAGTATAATTCAGAGGTTCCGAAGCGGCCTGCGTATTATGAGGATCATGCAAAACCTGCCTGGATAAGTGCCTCTATGATGGCCGTTGCGGCAGCTGCCATGATCATAGGAGGCCATTTCTTCAGCCGCCGCGGAGGTGAAGATTTTCTCTCTTCCTGGCTCATGTTCTTATACTTGTCTTCCTTCGAACTGTAGTGACATTAGCTAATTCCAATTTCGTGCTCGCTGTTGACGTGCAGTGCAATATTGACTGAGTGTACGAAAACTCTTTGAGGTTTGATTGTTTCTGCACGGATTGTAATTTCGTTTCTGATATTTACGTGGAATACACATATATTTATATATTTATATTGTAATCTGTATAGCTTTAGGTTTCCAGACTCCTGACCAAGTTTACAATAGTTGTGTTAATATCCTACTTTGCTTTTGCAACTCTGTATTGTGAATAATTATGATATGTCATGTGCTTTGGACATAGGCAGGCGTACCGGTGGCGATGGGAGAAACCATGGAAGGTCGGCATCGACTGGTAATCCTTCCAGTAGGGATAGTACAGAGCCACGGGACAATTTTCCTGTGAACTTGGCCCAACTTCGGGCATTACGAGCAGAGGCAGCTGAAGCTCGTCTTGCGAAAGAGAGCAACAGCACCGCCAGTTCATCACTCACGCCCTTGGGCTCCATTCTCATGCTTGCACGCAAGGTTAGCATGCCGTTCGTAGACCTTTCAAGATCTTGATCATTATTGGCTTGACATATGCCTCCAACTGTCTATTGAAAGGTTCTGAAAATGTGGAGGTCACGTTGGCATATTTAGAGCATGAATGCCGAGGTTGAAGAGTGGATAATCCGGATGATCCGCCTGATGTTGACGAGTTGGTGTAATCCAGCATAACCCACTACTTATCAGTTAATTCACAACGATAGTTCATTCTGCTGCATACGCAATTGTATTAACTACTTTTTTTTACAGGTGGATAAACTTGGCGAGGAATGTTATGTTTTTTTAAGCAGCGCTGGTTCAAGCATCGAATTGAGTCCCACCCAGCAAAAGGTAGAACCCTGACCGCGTGTATTTTTTGCTTCTTTAATCTTCTCTTTCTCTTACTGTGTACGAACGTGGTTGTGAATATTAGAACAGGGTTTAACATTGTCTTTCAATTTCAGTTCTAGCGTAACAAGAATTGGAAAGCCGGTTTTTATTCCTTGTAAAACGAGTGTCGTTTGTCTGTGATTTGTTATACTCGGATGAAAGCGGAAGGAATGTAACATTCAGGTGCATGAACACTTGTTGTGCAGGAACTTGCACGATTGATGGAACTTCTGACTCAATTACAACTTAAGATTGACGGTGTTAAAGTATGTCATCGCCTTCAAGTTCTTCATGAAATGAATATTCCCTCCTGCATACTGCTAAAAGAGTGGGTAGCGTGTCTAGTGTAGCTAGTTCCTTGTTCTTGTGGTGCGTTTTTTCTGATTGCACTGTACGGAATTAGGGCTGGATGTTTGTACAAGTTGGAGGTTTTAATTCTTCAAGTTTTTTTTATCGTAGGCAATACTTTCAACTATGAAGCCATGACGACTGAGATGTCTGATGTTCTAAGGATATTCTGGGTGCAGGGTGATGAAACTGTACGACCCCATCGCAAGATCCAGACAAAACGAGTGCAGTCCCTTCTTTCAGTAAGTTGACACCCTTCCAGGATGAAGCGTAGGGACAAACATGGACCATTAACTTTGAGTCTATGTTGAAACACTTTCAATCAATCATGACAATAGAAGTTTATAATTTTTGATGCTAGCAATATTCATGAACTTTTTCAAATTAACAATTTACAATTGCCATTGCAGGATTTGGAAAAGGTATCAAGTGGAAGCGGGAAGTAAGACGGCAAATGCATGACCCCAGAGAGCGCTGCTGATTATTGTCCAGAACGTGTATCAATAATACGTTGATTGCCTTACTAGGAAAGTATAGAAATTGTTATTATACTTAACTGTATAGTAGTCACAAAGCATGTACAATAGTAGCACCGTGCTCCTGTTTGGAAACAGAATTCCAAGCGTGCATTCGGAAGCATATCGGATGCGTAGAAAGCATCACTTACCATGCAAAACAAAACTTTCAAGAGCATACAGAAATCCTTCTCATTTATTGCGAGTTTTTACGGGGTCCCATTGTGATTATGACAGTACAGAATTCCAAGCGTGCACTCGGCAGAATATTGGATGCGTAGAAGGCATCACTTACCATGCGAAACAAGACTTTCATCAAACAGAATTCCTTTCCACATTTGGCTTGGTGTTTTCGGGTCCAACTGGGAAAAGATAGTTTGGACTCACGCGCGAGAACCTCAGGTGCAGATAAAATCTATTCTCAACGGTAGGAGGCAAGCGGGATTGAACCGCTGACCTATCGGACTGCAGCCGATTGCTCTACCACTGAGCTATACCTCCGTTGCCCTCTACAGGTCTCGAACCTGTGACCTTCGCGTTATTAGCACGACGCTCTAACCAGCTGAGCTAAGAAGGCTCCGATCCGATGATTCTGATTGTCAAAAACTCGTATTTATATGGTGTGAATTCTATAGCCGCACGACCATTGCATCCTCAAATTAGGGCTTGGGAGACCTTCAATGACGGACTTGCATCTACTGTTGCGAGTGCTGGGTTGAGACTTTTTTGCGGTTTTGCACGCCTTCGCAAGAATTTGATATCTCGGGTTAGACTTTGTCGTAGTGCATTTCGAGTTGGGTGTTTTGTTTTCATTTGCTGCGAGACTTGAGTAGCAGACATGGCTGGCGCGGCGCCTGCCTGGACGAAGAGACTTGTTATTCAGCTGGTGCGGGGACTTCCTGGCACGCGGATTACCCACCGTGGAACTGTGCGAGCTCTGGGGCTCCGTAGACGGCATCAGACTGTTTTCCGGGACGCTACGCCTTCGATTTGTGGGATGATTAATCAGGTTAGAGCGGCTTCTTCTACTTAGGAGGCGGGCCTTTGTATTTAATCGTGGGTGTTGTACACATTGTATTACCTGTGGAAGGCTTCTTTGTTGGTCGCCTTTGTTTATGCGTTTCACTTGTTTAACTGAAAGATTTGAATGCAAGATAATCAACAGTGATGTGCGAGAAACGTCGACTACTCTCTAATTTGTTTCTTCCTCCGGTCAAAGATAAATGTGTTTGTTAGAGAAAGATTATAGACTTTTTAGAAACACAAACAATTTATTGTAGGTGTTCTCATAACGAAGGTTACCATGCAACAGCAGAGTGGTGAATAGCCTGGATTTCTTGTGAGACAGTTGTCCAACTTTTTTGTGTTGTGAAATTCTCTACTTTTGGGTCGTAAATTGAGGGGGAAATTCTGGATGGAGCTTTGATAAGTAGCTCTCAGATTTCGCTCTAGGAATGTTCTCATTGAATTCTGTGCATGCTCGGATGGGCAACGGATGCTCTTTTTTGACGATCCCTTGATTGGCCTTTTTTGTTTCATAGCAGCAGTCGACCACAGTTATTGACGTAATGTTTGATTTCTTCAGGTGAAGAGGCTAGTATCTGTGGAGACTGAGGAGATGTACAATGCGCGACTGGAAGAAGATGCCAACAGGAAAGCAGTTAGGCCTCCTCACGTCATCCGCCACAGTCCTCAATCAAAGCAATGATAGGAGCAGTGAGTTTCTGAACATCTTTTCTGTTCAGACATGATACTTACATGGCTAACATGAGCCAACACTTCAGGATGGTTTAGTGTATCATCCATCACATTTCATGTCAACCTGAGATTTTTATTACTTTTTTCCTTATTTCAACTGATAGATTACCGTTTGCTCATGAATCAGATTTTGCGAGTGGAGCCACTATCTGATTCACCGTGAGAAACTGTGTTGTGCTCATTGTGCGGAGGAGGATAAGAAATGCTTTCTTGAAAATTATAGACTTCTCTACATGATAATAATATATTGGCTTGTGCCGTTTTTTTAATGCACCCATGTTGGTATCTTTGCTTGTTTGATTAGAAGTTTTCAAATCATCAGTTTTCATCTGATTTGAAAACGTTTGACAAGCACATGTCTGTAGAGACAGTTTTATTCAATTACAAATGGAGTGATTTAAGAATGTGGTGACCTGTGCTTGTTATCGTTGAAATTTTCTTAGAGATTAGAGGTTCACCACCGTGGTTTTATAAGATTCGAGTATGCAATGTCAAAGATACCCTAAACTCTGAACCTGAGGATAATTGGTACAGAATTTCATTGTGCACAACTGTAATCCCTTCTATCTGCCACGAACATAAGAGCTAAGTCTTAATGCCTTCCAGTAGTATTTTTACTAATTAGACAATGTTATGTCAACATTTCCAATTTTACGTTATTACAACTTGTGTCACTTAAAGACTATTGAAGAAATTGATACTATCAAATCAAGCATTTTACTATGCAAAATTTCATCTCATTCTACCGTTTCCTAACAGTGAACAAGTATAATTAATGGTCATGCTTTCTGCAGTTTCACATTGTTAGGGCCGTGTTCGCAATACAAAGGTCCGATTGTTCATGGCGTTGTGGACATCTCTGGATTATTTTTAACTAATATATATATAATTTGAAAATGGATTTGTCAGGATCTAGTGCATATTTGTTTTCAAAAATTAAGTATTTGTGTATGAAGTGATGTATCAGTAATTATCATAATTCTACTATTATGACTTTTAAATTAATCTTCACAATTTGAATGTGTTTGTTCAGAGAAACAGAAGACAAGCCTTAAACAAAATAATTTCTCAGTAAGTATAAAACGTTCTAACTGATCATTAAGTATGTATGCATGTCCTAAAAAACAAAATACAAAAATCAGGTTTTCCATATTTATTTTTAGGTTCTGAAAATGATTACTTTGTATATTGTGTATTTGTATTGCTTCCATCCAAATAATGATTGTCTAAGTCGTAGTTTTAGATTTTAATTGCCTTCAGTACATATCAATCAGCTGTGAGCATAAAATCATAACACAAAACTAAAATCCAAATATTTAATTACACACTCATTCTTTCAAATATATTGCATGGATATACTTCAATGTAAATTAATTCACATCAAACCACACGCGAACCCCATCAAATCTACAGGTAACTTATAATTTATGCAGAATCTCAACAATATCCCTAATCAAATCACTTATTGAAATTACAATTATTAATAAGATTGATAAAGAATTTAAGTTTTCCAAAAACAAACAATCAAACGATTACAGAGACTTTTTGATGGTGAGAGTTGTATTCTAAAACCTAATATCCGCATACAAACGGTTCTCATGCTTGTGGAAGACAATACATTCATCCTACAATCTAAAACCATTCATGCGAAATCTAGCACTGTGGAGCAAATGAAGACAGGCAACACTTAAAAAGAAATTCCAACTTCCAGGTTTTAATTACATTTTCTCTTCGCTGGCTTGAATTGGATATTAACTGCAGTAATTTTTAAGTCAGAGTGCTCCCACTGCTCTTAATTTTGTTAGAATGTTGCTATTCGCGTACACATTTCGTCACACTGATGGCGAGGTCTGTAAACTAACAAACATGGAGTTAAAGCCACTCATTTTAACAGATCCTATAATACATAAATATTTCTTGTGGTTGTTGACATCCTATCCCGTAGAACAACACAAAACGAGAAATCCTTTACCCACATTCCTGAAAATAAAAATAAAAACACAAAACACAAAGACACGAATGCTGTTGACTGAGAGTTGAAAATATACACGAGTAGCAGTAAGGCAAAGGACAACATGAATCGAAGATGGAAGAGGTAGTGAAAACAGTTGTCAACCGGCAGCCGAAGCAGTAAAACAGAGAAATGTGTTGTGAAACTTGCACCTTGGACGAGGAAATGAAGGGAAACAGCGAAGGGAATGAGCAAGACTCGCCGAAAATCTATGAATCGAATCGAAAAGACAAGTTGGTTGGAGTCCTTTGGACGGGGAGGAGAGCTCCGCTTTTCGGGGCAGTGAGAGAGAAGCTTCGGCTTCTAGATGCTTCCAGATGCCCCTTCGGTGACCCCACGCCGTCTCCCTTACAAACACTGGCAATCGTGTGACGGCTTGCTGTGCTCTTCCACGTCGAAGGTTTGAGGCCCCTCTCTAGACTCACGCAACCCAGCTACTGGTCTCGCACTTCTCACAACCATTCTACCTCCTCACCACCTTCTTTCCTTTGTCAAGCTCGATCGAAGTGTGGGTTTTTTTTCTTTTGGTTTTGTGGGTTTGCGCATTCCCGGGAGGTTTAAGGTCGGTGTGGGTGGTATCGGAGGTTTAAGGTTTAAGAAAAAAACAGGGGTTCGGCTACCATGTATCGTGCGGCGGCTACGTTGTCGGCCCGTATCAACAGGTGCTCTTCTGCCTCCATTCCTCTATCGTTCAAGGAAGGCGATTTTTTTTTTTTTTTTTTTTTTTTTTTTTTTGTGTGTGCTGTGAAGTGCAATGTGCTGATCAACTGGGTGTATCTCACTATTGCTGTTGTAGGCATTCACCATGTGTGTGTGTGAGAGAGAGTCTGTTGGTGTCTAATGTAGCACCTTGATTTCGAACTTTGTGTGAGGATAGTTGGTGTGTGCGGGTGATCTTTTAGGGTCGCAGCCTGGTAAGTGGGATTCTAGAGTCGTGGGTCCCTTTTCTGTGTTGCTGGTTTTGTTGTACTCTAATCGTTCCACGGTGTAGTTGTTTTCTTCGATATATCCTGCTTAGTGTTTGTCTGTTCTCCCACCGTTCTATGCGTGAGTCTGGTCTAGTGGCATTGCACTCCTCTCTAGGTGAGCCGTGACTGAAGTGGGTAGTTTTCTTTGATCGGCTTCGGGCCGCCTCTTGTGCATTTGGGTCCTGTACTGTTGATTGGCCTCCTGTAAGGATCATGAAACTTGATTCTAGTTTATTACGCAATTACTCAGTAATCATAGGTGTGGTTTACTTGGCGTCTGCGTTGTGTACGTCTAGTATCGGCACCACTCGTAGATGTATGAACTCGCACAGAAACAAAGTACTTATGATCACTTGACTTGCGGTTCTCAACCTAATGTGTTGTATGTTGTGTTTACTTTACAGGGGCCGCGCACTAGTACAAGTAAGTACTCTTGATCCAATCAATTCATTTGGTTTTTCTACAGACTGCAACTTGATGGTCTTTTATTTAGCCAGCAGCCTAATCGTAGACAATATTTAGCTGCAGTGATGTCCTCTCTCAGGTGTCGCTTGTGCCTCTGTCGTGGTTTGAAGCTGAAGTGTCTCCTTGCTGATGATTTTGCCATCGTGAAATACATCAGAATTGAGAACTTTGACTTCGAGGTGACTGACTTGAATTCGTGGACTGCAGAATTTTAATAAACTTCAGTCAACCCGGAATTTTTCTGCAAAAGATATTAGGTTTGGGGTCGAGGCCCGCGCCCTTATGCTTCAAGGTGTGGAGCAACTTGCAGATGCTGTTCAAGTGACCATGGGGCCTAAGGTACATTATTAGTTATTGGTACTGATTGCGTGTTTCAGCGATGGCTTTGATTTCAGTATTCTAGGTATGAAATTGAGACTCTGGTTGTACGAATGATTCTTGATAGAGTTTGCAATCATCCGTAACACGGAACTAGCTTTGACATGGGGTGTGTTGTGGTGGAGAATCGGCCTCTCTGATCCATTATATTACATTTTTCGCATCATTTGACTCGTGTTTCTACCTTGACAATTATCATGTCCACCGGTGTATGATTTGCGAGGAGGACTAATGTGCCGATATTGGGTCTTTTCTTTTAACAGGGGCGTACGGTTGTTATCGAGCAATCATTTGGCTCTCCAAAAGTGACTAAGGATGGGGTCACTGTGGCTAAAGCCATCGAGTTCAAGGACAGGCTGCAGAATGTGGGAGCGTCCCTTGTTAAATCAGTTGCTAGTTCTACAAATGATGTAGCTGGAGATGGTAAAGTCCCGGTTCTATCTAAATTTGGAGATATCGCTCTTACACGCATAGTTCCTGGACCCATTCTTTTTATTTTGTACGAAGGCTTGGGGAATTATTTTTGAAAATTTATGTCACCTTTTGATTTCGGCGAATTGATCCACACACCTTCTGTGAAAACATTTGGCTGACTCGAAAGAATATGTTTTGCAGGGACAACTTGTGCAACGGTGCTCACCCGAGCTATTTTTGTTGAGGGATGTAAGTCAGTTGCAGCTGGCATGAATGCAATGGACTTACGTAGGGGTATCAATCTTGCTGTTGACTCTGTCGTATCCCATCTAAAAAGCCAAGCCAAGATGATTAGCACATCGGAAGAGATTGCACAGGTGAGTACTCTTTCGCTAAATTCACCATTTCAAGGTGATGCATACTTCGATTTGAGGTTTTTGTACTGCGGGATTCAAGATAATTGGACCATTTCCTCATTTGTGTGGGCGTGGTGGAGAGCTGCGCATTGCGATTGTTTAATTAAATCACTCCATACAATCCTCCGTTTTTCTGCCAGGTTGGAACTATCTCTGCAAATGGAGATAGTGAAATTGGCGATTTGCTCGCTCGCGCCATGGAGAAGGTTGGCAAGGAAGGTGTCATCACTGTGTCGGTAAGTGAATGTTTGATTCTTACTAGGTGTGAGGAAAACATTAATCTCTATTGCATGTGGCATCTTGTACCTATGTTGATCATAGGCACATGACGTTGCTGGTAATTAGAATGCGTTTCCATTTATTACACGTTTTGGCCATCTAAGTGAAATCAGTTGAAGGTCCATACGTCAGTGGAACCTTCGTTCTTCTGTCAAATTGAAGATATTCATTTTTACTGCTGTTTCGAGAAGTAGTCTCATACTCATCCTTCCCACAAGGTCTCCATTCTAGCATTATGTGCCAGAGGGTATAGATTTCGATTAAATGCCATCTAATGGTCCAGTGATGTTCTCATGTGGTATTATCACAGGATGGAAAGACTTTATTTAATGAGTTGGAGGTTGTGGAGGGCATGAAGCTTGACAGGGGATATATTTCCCCCTATTTCATCACTAATGCAAAGACCCAGAAAGTGGTGGGTACTTGAATTAGAATGCCTCGTGTTGATCTACTCTATATGTGTACTGCAACCAATGTTTCTTGCTTTCCATCAATCACTGTTTAATTTTAAATCTGCGTGTGTCTGTTAAGCTTTTTTGGATTTAGATGAGCCTGAACTTCATTTTAACTTAGCTTGGCTTGTTTGACAATGAAACAGGAATTGGAAAATCCCGTCATCTTGATCCACGAGAAGAAAATCAACAGTCTTCAAGCGATTCTTCCAGTGCTTGAGCTCGTTGTCAGGGTAAGCCATCGTTAGTTTCGAAGCACTGTGTGAACATCGCTTTGTTTCCGTCAGCTATGTTGCCACTTCGAAGAATCTTTTTTGTTACATGTTTGAGCTGTAGATAGATCCATTTATGTGCGACTTAGTATATGCAATAAATTCTGGCGATTCTGATTACAGTTCTCTGATTTGATAGGATCAAAGGCCACTATTGATTGTTGCCGAGGATGTGGAGAGTGAAGCTCTGGCGACACTGATAGTCAACAAGCTCAGGGGAGGTGTGAAGGTATGTTTGCAGCTGTCGTGCGTCTCCTTACCCTAGTTTGAGGATTTGCGCTGTGGAGGAATTGAGCGCTCTTCGCCAGTTTGTAGCTCGGAAAATGATCAATCAATTTGTGTAATACACGAATGTGGATATTGCTAGTTTGATTTAAATCTAGTCCTTTCAGGTGAAGGGACTTGCGCTAACTGTTCGTACTTTCCTCTAATGGAATTTTTACGTCGTGTGCCTGACTGTGGAAAACAGGTGTGTGCTATCAAGTCTCCTGGATTTGGAGAGAACAGGAAAGCGCTCATGCAGGACCTTGCAGTGTTAACAGGTGGTCAGGTAATTAGTTGTTTCCTTACTTTTTTAAGGTCAAGAAGGAGCTTTTTCACCTAAGAAGGGTCACGTAACTTGGCTAATAATAGTTAGGTGTTTCAAACAATCGCTTTCTTTTTCTTTTTTCCATTTTCCCAAGTCAAATGAGACGCAATGTGTTTCTTGCTGTCTAATGTGTGTGGATGTATGTCATGTGGGTGCAGCTCATTAGTGAAGACCTTGGATTTAAACTCGAGAAGGTCACTCCCGATATGCTTGGAAAGTGCAAAAAGGTCACTGTATCGAAAGATGACACCATTATCTTGGATGGGGGAGGTGACAAGGCTGCGCTCGAAGAGCGAACTGAACAGGTGATTTATTATCTTTATTACGTTAGTCAAACTTAGATTGTTCGAGGATACGATTCGGTTCTTCGATGTGGGTGGAATTGCATGAGAATGTCGATATCAGTTAACTTGATGCCTCAGAGGATTCGCCGCTGTCGTGGGTCACGAGCTTTTATCTGCAATCTTGCTACTCATCATGAACTTTTTTTCACTGGTAAAATATGGATTTGATGTGTCTTGTTGATCTTCATCATATTCTGAAAAAATACATACATGGATTGTGAAATACGGACTGACAATCTCGGTTTCTTTCTAGATCCGAGAGGCTATCAGCGCTGCCACTTCCGACTACGATAAGGAGAAACTGCAAGAGAGGTTGGCTAAATTGTCAGGTGGTGTAGCGGTACTTAAGGTATATCCATGTACTTCAATTATCTGTCTCATTTACTCGTAATGGATTTGCATCTGCAGTTTGCAGTCCTGATTCGTTATTATTTTCGTTGAAATTGATTTTGGTTTTTTATAATTCTAGATCGGAGGAGCTAGTGAAGTCGAGGTAAACGAGAAGAAAGACCGTGTAACTGATGCATTGAACGCCACTAAAGCTGCTGTTGAGGAGGGTATTGTTCCTGGTATGTCCGACAAAATCAACGTTTTGTGTGATATGTAAACGTGTGTAGGTTTCTTTGAATTAGTGGCATCTCATGAATGGTATTTAGTGTATTGGATTGCCTAAATTTATATACGTAGATTTTAGAAGGCACGTCATGAATTGCGAAGCCCCTCTGGTGTTTCGTCTGGTAATGAATTTTCAATTTGATTGGGTGGAACAGGTGGTGGTGTGGCTCTTTTGTATGCTTCTCGAGAGCTGGAGAAAGTTCAAACTGCGAACTTTGACCAGAAGATCGGAGTGCAAATCATCCAAAATGCTTTGAGGGTATCATTTCTCAACCTACCCGTAGAAGTCCACAATGACTTGTGGTCATCTCAGTTACTCTTTAACGAAGTAATTCATCACGATGCGTGTTGAGCTAGTAAAAGATTACTCTACGGATGAGGGCTAAAGCATGGTTCAAGATTATCTGTTATGCTAAAGCTTTAAACTCTTCTGAGATGTAATAAACTTGTGTTATAGATGCCTGCGTACACAATTGCACGCAATGCTGGAGTGGAGGGAGCTGTCGTTGTTGGAAAGCTTATGGAGCAAACAAACATGAGCATTGGATATGATGCTGCAAAAGGTTGGTTGAATTTTCTTGCGCCTCGAACTTGGGTTGAATTTAGAACACTGTCGATTGGAATCATCTATGAGGTTGACAATTCCATCCAACGTTGCCGATTTTTTGATTGGAGGCTTAATCACTAATTCAAATCTCAATTATGTCGCACCAAAATCCTGTTGTTTGAATAATGTATCTTATGCCCACGTACACACACACATAAAAATTTCATTCACTTTTCATAAAACATATGTTTGTAGTAATCCTGCTACTTAATCGATTCGATAAACTTTCTTGCTGATTATCCTTTTTTAATTTGCAGCCGAGTACGTCGACATGGTGAAGGCTGGAATTATTGATCCTGTAAAGGTTATTAGAACAGCTCTTGTTGATGCCGCTAGGTACTTTTTTCTTCCTTGGATTCTGGCTTGCTGATCCGCGCATCCTGTCCTTCATTGATGCCCGAGTTTTGGGGATCCGTATGTTTGTCTCTAGCTTGTTTGTCTTCTGCTGACACTTGATAAGTAATTTGAGGTTTTGTTACTCCTAGCTGTACAAGTTTCTTGCACATGGGTCATTCAGTCATTGATTCTAACTCGTTCTTCTGTGTGCAGCGTTGCATCACTGATGACAACAACTGAAGCAGTAATTGCTGATTTCCCGAAGGATGACAAGGAGGCCATGCCTGGCATGGGAGGTGGAATGGGAGGAATGGGAGGCATGGGAGGAATGTACTAGATGACTTGAGGGATACGCAGGCAGTTGAAATGTTTCAAAATCAATGCGTTGAGGTTTAGGGGACAGCCGCTCATTACAGCGTTTGGAACAAAGTGCATGCAGTGATAGGGAGATTCATCCTGCAAGCCGCCGGAGAATAGTCTAATTCGGCCATACAATGTAATTAAAGAGTCAGTTTTGTGATCCTCTAATAAGCTCGAGGAAGATTGACATGGTCCATTCAAATCATGAATGTGTCTCAACCTAATACATTCAATTATTTATTTGGATACTGAACGCTTTTCTTAGACTCTTTGGCCATTGGGTGTGGGTGAGGTAGGGAACTGTTACCTTCTAGATTTAAAGCTATTATGAGACAAAATGTCGGAAGATATGTTGCTTACACGGATCTGTTAAAAGAAACAGTGCGCTTGAGTAACAAAATATATTTTCTAGACTCAAAAACAATGTGCTTCAAAATAACAAAAGAATGGTTGGATATAATATTTTAAAAAAATATATGACAAAATAAATGTGTACTTTTTCAGGTACTTTTAAATGTATTAACTTTAATACTTCTGATGGGTATTCTTACATATGCATGAGCACTTGTTTAATTTAATGCAAGGTAAATAACTTATCACTATATTATAGTATATCAATTATCCGTATAAATAAACATATAATATGTAGTTGGAATCACATACACATATTATATACATGTATATAATATAATACTACGAATAAATGTAAATCATAAGTTTCCTCAAACAATTAGTACGTAGATAATTTGAGAAATAAACAATATTCCAAACCTAATCTTGGAAATGCACAATTGGAAGCACTTATCAATATGCTATAAATTAAAATTTTAAAATTTACCAGAAAAAAATAAACAAATAAAATACAACACCAAACATCAAGCTAAAAATGTTCTTGTGGATGTGGATCATTTACACAAAATCAATATTGTCATACTTGGTAGTTGAACTTACAAACTCAAGGAATGAAACACTGTTTATTCATAGACTGTATTCACTACTTGAATAATAATTTACTAGAAGCAACGGAAAGACTGGGCACTAAAACAAACGAACGCAGCACACAAACAGCACATGGACAGAAAGCATAATTAGTGGTCAGCGAGTGCGGAACTGAATCTCTTGAAGCCTAAGAAAACTTGTCTCAGATTGGACTTTTTGTCATCGAAAATGACCCGCTTTCATCTCCTCACAGAAATCGGTGTCGGAATCTAGACTTCAATCACAGATTTCTGTGTGTGAAGTTAATGCTACAAGCGATCGCCACACACTGAAATAATTGACACCGATAACTGTAACTGTAGGTCGCAGAGCCGGAGAAACTTGTACAATGTAGGATGTGTTTTATACAGTAGGTCTAGACAAGAATCAGAGGCTCAGAAGTGGGCACAGTGAAGGATGAGAGTAATAAGGGGGCGGACCAATTCGGTGCCCAAAGAATGGTATATGATTTGTGTGTGTTTTACAAACAATAAAAATGCTCTGCTTGGAAAAAAAGAAGCGCTGGGTTTTGTTATCTAGACCCACCACAACGGGTCTGAATTCACATCCTTGCTGCTTTTCCTAGACGGGGGTGACGCCCGCAGATAACAGTCCAGTTCGGACCGAAACCCTAAAGCTTCAAGACAATGAGACAGATGAAGCAGGCGGCCCATTTTTACACAGCGGCATTAGAGTATGGCATGCCGAGGTCCGTGATCCAGCTCTTGCCGTCGATGAAGCTCGCTGCTTGGTACTTGTTCGCCGTCTTGGAGTCACTGATTCCGTGCGACCATTTCACCCTGTAGCGCCTGTTCGATCCTGGGCCGCTACCCTTGTATTCGGCGAAGAAGGATGTGTACAATCCGAAGTCGGTAGTATTCCATGGGAGCCATCCCTTGGGGTCGACATGAGCTTGGATGCTGGGTCTCAGCAAGACGCAGACGGAGTAAGCCTTCCAAGGGCGGCCAAGGAAGGTCGGGTAGTACTGGACGTTGCGCTTCAGATCAGGGGTGCCGTCAAAGTTGCAGTCCTGGAACGCAAGGCCGGTGTTCTGGTGCTTGTCGGACCTTCCCTGGGCAGTGTAGGTGTTTTGCTGACCTTGCAATGTGGTCTTCTTAGCGACAATCTGGCAGTTCTGGAATACCGCGTTGGCATTTCCGAAAATGAAGTCGACGGTGCCCATGACGATGCATTCGCGGTAGAATTGGCGTAATGAATGGCAGTAGAGAGTGTCTTGGAAGCTATCGAATTTCACCCGGTAGAAGGCAACCTTGTCCGCGGTAACACGCGTGGCCACAGCTTGGTGTCCAGCTGCTCCAGCGGTGTTTCGGCACGTAAACATCTTCCCGATGAATCCTTCACCTTGCACAACTGCGCACCAAAAGTGTTTCAACAATTTTAGATGATATTCAGATCGATAGAAGCTAGTGAAATCATGCACAACAGTAATTATTGATGTTTTCGGGAAGGATGTTAATAGACCAGATATTGTTGTAATAGATCTTACTCATCGTTGCGGACAAGTAGGTAGTCATTCCCTTCATCAGCCCGACGTTCCTTTTTCCAGTGAAGATGGTCTTGTCGATACCGTCTCCGATAATTGTCAATTTGGCCAGCTTCTTGGGAATAATGATCTGCTCATCATAAACTCCGGCCTTGACGTAGATCACATATCGAGTTGCACCCGACGTAGACGCCCTTTGAATGGCTTCTCCCACGGTCTTGTACTTCCCAGATCCGTCCTTGGCAACGATAACATTATACGAGGGAGGAAGTGTGAGAAGATGTCTGCTGGTAGCACTGTCCATCCAGTTTGGAAGGAGGTTTTCCTCCTGTGCCTCATTGGTGGAATACTCCACGTTCATGAGACGGCGATGCGCACCGTTACCTAAGAACGAACCCAAATCGGGCATGCTTAGACCAGTGGCCAGACCGGCCCAGTTTTTGATTTCGTTACCATACATACAAAAACCGTTCACTATCGCCAGCGTATTTCCAATGCATTGCTCCGACTTAGACGAGCGCTCCAAGAATGAGGCAAATTCAGGCGAACCAGATTCCTCCAAGACGTCCTTGCAGGTATTTACGTTGGTAAGCGCCGCACTCAACTGTGTCTGAATGTCCGCACAGGTTTGTTCTCGAAGTGTCTGATTGGTAATATCCATCGAGGCGTACACCCTTGCAAACAATTCCCTGGCGCTAGTCAGAAGCTCCTTGCACTGCTCATTGGTGGTTCCATCTGAAAGTTGTCCGACTTGTTCGTCCGAAGACTTGATCGACGCCTTCGACATACCCACTGGAGTTCCATCCGATCCGGCTAGTGATTCCCTACAGGTGTCTGGGTAGTCTGTGGCTACGCATGCTGCAGGGTCGCCATTTCCGTCATCCTTACCGCTTCTCATTCCCAAGGGAATTGCGATACAGATAACAAGCACCACAACTAAGGATACACTCAAAACAGTCGCAACGCAGCAGCGACGGCTCTTTGGTCGATACGATCCCACCATAGGCTTCTCATCATCATGAGTCATCTTGAAACCTAAAGATTGCAGCTATACTGCACCCAAACACAAATGCGAATTGGAACTTGATCACAAACAACTCTTCTCCTCGATTATAACCAAGGAGCCACCAAGCTACCAAAGCAACAGCAAGTATCATACGACAGAGGTCCAGCTCGTGACGATGCGAGGGATTTAAGGAGATCGCTTCCAGTTCTGTGGGCACAACAACCGAGGCCCGCGATCCTGAATTCTGACTCTCATTGCGCAATGGAGTATTTATGGATTTCGCGTAGCGCACCGCGTTGAGGAGAAGTGATTCAGAGAGCCGTGATGCGGGCATCTGGGGGGGCTAAAAATGACGAAAGGGGACGCGGTTCCGGGCGACGGGGGGGAAGTGGGTGAGGAAGCAGTGAGTAGGGCGGGGGGTGGAGCCATGCGAGACCCCGCGAGTGCGGCACAGACCTCGGCAGTCTGGCGATGCCTGGTTCCGTCGGGGGGGGGGGGGGGGTGTGTGAGGGGCTTCTTCAAAATAAGCAACCCTGAGAAAATGGGCGCATTCTGGCGCAGCATCCTCGTCGAACTCTCGCCCTCTCTCGGCTTTCCTCCTCCACTTCCTCTACCTGGCGTCGCATTTCTCGCAGCGCCGCTGCTGCTGCCCCCGCGCGGCGCGGCGATCCCTGCATCTCGAATCTAACGTTGCCCGTTTCGAATACGTCCGCGGTGTTGGACGAATGAATTGTGTGTATATATATATATATATATATATATATATAATGGGATGTGTCCTTTGAAAATCATGTTTGTTGTATTTGATTTTAAGAAATGTCTTTTTGCTTAACAATTAAAATTACATGTGTCTATGTGTGTGTGTATATATATATATATATATATATTAGGACTAAAGATCTTAGTTTTAAATTGTAGGCTTTAATTATCTATTCTTATCTTAATATTACACTATATGATATTTTTTGACTCATTGTAGGTAGAATATAAAATAGGGTATTGCTAATGCCTCTACAATTTTTTCTACTATGACTACAATCCACCACCTACTACATGTCATAGCCAAAGCCCCTTATGGCAATTCTGAGAGGCATTAGGTTATTTTATCATGATTGCATGACATGCAATTAGGTTTGCTTATTACAAGTAGGCAATCAAAGTGTTTCAATTTGGAAAGGTGTCAACAATGTCAAGCTCTACAAGAAAGAAACATTGCACATAAAGTTGTAAATAGAGTGATGGACACATTGCATACACAAAGACTGTATGAGAAGAGCATATATGATTTTGATGGATTGTACATTGAGTGAGTGATAGGACATAGTAGCAATAGCAAAAACTATGGTGATATTAGTAATACTCTAAAAATATTTATATTTTATTGTTTGATTTATTTGATTAAAAACTTATAATTATTATGCTTGATAAATAATTTAAAATAATCTTAAAATAAATAAATTCTCTAAAAAAAATCTACATACTCTTATAAAAGATGTAGACATTGTTACAACCTATGTATCTAATAATGCTTGAAAATATAGCCATTATTATGAAGACTTTATATATTTATTGCTTTAATTTTTTCATACATACAATGAAATAATTAAAACCTGACCAAAGTCAAAAACAACAATTTATCTAGTAGTATTTGTATTTTTAATTTTTTATTATATATATATATATATATATATATATGTGTGTGTGTGTGTGTGTGTGTATGTATGTTTGTGTGTGTATATATATATATATATATATATATGTATGTACAAATTATTAAAGTACCAATCCTAATCTACCAATTAATTTGAAGCAAGTAAAAAATAAGACAATTTAAAAATAAAAAAAATCCAAAATAGAAGCATAGGACCTTAAGTCTGAATGGTTTTTGTATTTTTTAAATTCATTTTAGTAAATTATTTATACTAATTATTAAATATAATTAAACTTGGTCAAATTATATAAATTATATTCCACAAAACTTTACATTAAAAATCTATTCCTAAGAAAAATATTGTATTTCTTATAAAACCATAAGAGAATATAAAAATTAGCCAAAATTTAGAGTTAAATTCCTCAAATACACAATTAATAATTAAAATCAGATGGTTTCTATGTTTTATTCGCAATGGTGCAAAAAATAGGCTCTATAGTAATCCAAGACTAAAAGTAAAGTTTTAAAATTCACATCTAAATATAGCATTTGTAAGGTGATCAAAGATATACAAGTCCACCTTGTGGCTCACAAAGAATTAAAAATCAATGGTCAACTTCTTTAATTTATGTTATGAATGAAGAAAAAATTAAACAAGTGCACTCAAAATTATTAATATAACAAAAGATTGCCACCAATGTAAACAAACCACAAAACTTCTAGCTCCAAACAACCAAATTATTTGCAATCAATAAAATGCAATTCTTTTTCAGTCAATTTCATTTAAAACTCTTTTAAATTTCATCTCCTTGAAATAGCTACATAGAAACATTGAAACACTTGATTTGGTTGTAGCACCTCATCATTTTTCGAATAATACTTAAAACATCTTTGCCAAATTTCTTGAAAAGCGGCAACATATGGTGCTCACAGAAATCACAAGCCAAATAAACTGATTTCATGGATAATTATGCTTTGTAAGATTACTTTTATTGCACCAGATACTCACCTTTTGTTTCAAATGGAAAAGATATAAAGAGAAAGGATATTCAACGTGCGTGAAGAATTGAATTCCGAGATAAGAACCGCAACTTGGATTGTGATCTTCTTTAGAAATATTTGGATTCATCTGCACCTTTTTATTAGAAAGCATCAGACTGCACTCACCTCATTCACTGTGTTTTTTTAAAGACAGTCTTAATAGACATCTTTCTTCCTGAGCAATATTCGGCAACTCTAGAAACGGAGATCTCAATTTCTTACAGCATTGTAATTCCATTCTCATTGTCAGATCCATTTCAGGAATGATTCAAGGTAACTTTCACCGCTAAGGGAAATCGCTAATCAGGAAATGCTTTCCCAGTCTACTAACCACGAAATGCTATGCCGTTCTGAAGGCTCTTACACATTATAACAATAATTATTATTCTTTTGGTCCAGCTGGGGTATACACATCGCATTGATTGATAAGAGAACAACAAGAGAGGACAAGACTATTCACTACATGTTGTGACGCATTTCCGTTTGAGGAAAATGGTGGATTCAGGAACTTTTCAATGATGGATCGAACAAGCTTCAGATCGTCACCGAACCAAACCAGGAAAAAGTGACGAATCCGCCACTAGGCTGGCGGTAACTGCTCACAACCCAACAGTTACTAGAAAGACGCTGTTGTTTCTGTATGCTATGTTCCAGTCCACAACGCAACGTGGTTCTTGCCGGAGCGTCTTTCCACGAGCAAGCTTCGCAACGAACATGTGCCAAGTTGAGGAATCGGTTTATTCGAAGGATTGTGGAAACTATGAGGAACGCCCGTGCTGCAGAGTTATCTGACCCCCCCCCCACGTTCATCCATTTTCTCGGGCCTCGTCGATGAATCAAGTCAATTTTCCAAAATCCCACCGTGTCACCCCCTGACTTGCTCTCGTAACGCATTTAATTCCAACTCTTGTTGGCTTGCTGGAGTCTGTCGTAGTTCCGATACATTCTGAGCTCTGGTGTGCTTGGTTGACTTGCAGATCACACTAAATATAAGCACTGTGGCGTGGAGATTCGAAGAATTACCTGAACACAGCAGAGAAGACCGTGTATTAGTTGCCATCCTGAGATCAACAGGATGAGAATTCTATATTTGGAATGAGTGAGAGCTGTTTAAATTGGAATAAAGTTATTGTAAAAAAAGACACACCAGGTGCTTCTGACTATTGATTCTGAAGCTCCTCACCAGCGCCTTTGATGTCGGCCTTCTACCGTAACCCACGTTTCCAGAAACTGTCTGCCTTGTTTCTTCACCATGCTTGTGGTGATCAACGGAATAAGAGGCTTCGAGGCCGAATTTCAGCAACGTCATGTGCTGTGCTTCAGGAGGGAGATGGTGTGTTTTCGCTCAGATAAACTTCGAATTCACCGTGAGCTTGAATCGATGAACACTAACCCAGTCATATTTTTCTTCACTTCAGTGATCGTAAATATAGTGTTGGAGTGTCGGAGATGAATGCATGTCTGATGTGTGCCCACATTGCCACCCATTTGCACGGTCACATGATGTCATTAATGGAGAAACATACAAGCTGTGCTCCGTAAAACTCTCCGTCCGGCTCTCCAGCTCGCCTCTTCGCCGTAGACTACATCAATTTTTTCATTCCTCGAAGTTTGTGCTCGTTCCTCCTGAATTCTCCCGACGTCAACGATATTCATGGTCATTGTTTACCTTCCAATAGCTGTGGACGGCTTCACACAACTTGCATCAAGTTGGAATCATTCACATCGATTTGAATTGTTACTGTGGAACTTGGCAATTGAAGGCATCCGCTATCTACGTCGATCTATACGCAGATCTGTACACACACTAGAACATGAGTTTTGTTTCGTTTGTATTCCGGATGGATTGATAGATTGAAGTACATGGTACAAGGAATTGACATCTTTATCTTCTATTGCCAGAAAGGCGGAGTAAGCGTCCTCAAAACTACTTAGCTCCTAACTAAGATTCCTAATTGACTTAGCCAACTAACTAAGATTTACATTTTCATATATAATCATGTATTAATTACCACACCTTTTTGCTGTATGAACCAAATAAACATGGTTTCTTTACAAGATTAGAGATTAGACTAAGTATCATTCTATTTGAAAGAATAGTCCTTTTTTTAATTAAGAAGTTCATTTTTTATTAACAAAATTGGTTCAAGAGAAGTGTTTTTGTAAATATTCCTTTTGATTTTTGCAAAGTAAGTTATGAGTCTCTCTATTGTAAACTAAAAGTATATATTAGAATAAAAAATTATTTCACTAATTGATCTATAGAAAAAATCAATATTGTTAGAATCCTATCAAGTTGAAATTTCTTTAGGTACAAATCTTACAATTTTAAAGAGCCACCAACTTGATTGTCATTATTTTGGCTTGTTTGGAAGATAAAACTTCATTGTATTATAAGATTTTACATAAAGTATCTACTTGAAATATTTTAATATATATATATATATATATATATATATATATATATATTTATAGGTAGAATAAACCAATTATCTTCCTCTATTATTTTATCTTCTTATAGAAGTTGGAAGTTTTTTGAAGCTAATGAGTTCCTTTCCAAGGTATATAAATCAATTCAATC